TCAAATTCAATAACAAGTCAAATTTCTTAAAGCTTTTAATTTATCTTAAAAGAAACGTTGCCTGAACAAATTACGTCTCAACCGTTTACAATATGCGTGTTGTTAATTCCTCACTTTTCATCTCATTTACTGTTATATTATTTTAAAAATATACAAATTTTTCCGGACCCCATTGAACTACTTTATTTTTACAATTGAGCAAATTCACATACATAAAGGAATGCTTTATGATAGTATAGAATATATAGCATAATATATGATGAAGAACTAGTCACGATGAGCATTAAATGAAAATAATATAAATAAAGTATAACGGAGAGAAAGCGTAACAGGCAAAAAAAACAGAAAAACAAAAAACATAAATATAAAACCGTGATAGGGATGCTTTGGGATTAAGTTATAATACTTTAGCAAATAAAGTAATAATCTTTGATTATTATTGTGGGTGTTCGGCAATAGAATTGAAGAATTTCTGGATTAAAGTGCAAAACAAAAGAAAAAAAAATATTAAAACAGCAAAATTGTTTTGTGTCTAATTTCATTCTAAAAATAATAATTCAAATTAATCCAAAAGGGAATATTATTATAATTGTGTATAGAATTACTCAGGAAATTTAGGAAAATTTATTCTACACATCTTTACTAAATTTCATAATTTAAAACATTTTAGTTAAAGAATATTATTTTGAATCAAAACAACGATTAATATATTTAACTGTTATACAAATTTCTCCCAATGGAATAATTCCAATAAGATAACATTGCAATATTTAAAAGTTAAAAAATTAAAATAAAAACCCTCAAATCCTCAAATTCTTATCATCTTGTCTAATTAAAAAACTTCTTTGATGTTAATAAAACTGTACCTACTTAAAAAGTACCTACTAATTAGTACTTACTAGTTATTTTTAAAATTGTAAATTGTCCATATAAAATATCTACATATACTGCAATAAAGAACTAATTAATTTCTAACAATTTTAAAGTCTAAGAGCAGCTATTTTATGACAAATCTAATAAAAATTAATAATTTCTCAATTTAGAGGCAATATAATGAAATAATATATTTTATGTTTGCAAAGTAACACTTTTCCCTTCAATACGTGAAAATTACAATCTAACCATATTTAAATTAATTTTACATATAAAACTGTTGCATACATTTAGGATGAAAAAAAAAAATTTAAAGAAACGTTAAACGTTAAAATAATACTCGAATTAGACGGTTAAGCAAGTGAGTTAAGAAAAGTAGTCATATTTTTTTATGGCATGAAATTAACCATTAACGTTTTGCATTTGGAAAAGGTAGCAGTTTCGAGAAGATAAGATACCGAAAATACAAAATTTACCAAATTTAAAGGGAAATCACTTAAGAGAGGATCGAAGTGAACAAAAAAATTCTTTTACCCAACAAGCTGTTTATTAGTATCTAAAAGTTGTTCAAATTTCTGACTCCTACAGTTTATCTTCTAGAAGAAAAACGGTATCAAAAATTTGAAAAAAAAGGATTTTAAATAACGGTCAATTTTAGTTCCCATTTTGTTTTTTTAAAGTTCAACTAAGGTATGACGTGGTAGAAGAAGCTCACCACTACTTTTCTGCGTTTAAAGAATATAAAAAATATTTATGGCTTTGCTGCAATAAATAGTCAAAAAATAGCATTCTTAGCTCTTTAAAGAAATACAATTAACTTTTCGAGCGGAGGAGATGAATATTAATTTTCTTCTGCGAAAATGAGTTTCTTCTGAAGGTCAATTTATATGTAAAATTTAAGCTTTCTATATGGAAGATGTTGAAGTTTTGTAAATAAACACACGGACAGACGGAGAGAAGCACGGCTGGACGAACGGACGGACAGAGTGAAACTAATAAGTATTTATTTTCAATTTTTTTTTAGAAATGTGCTTAAAATATTGCGTTTTCTAATGCCTGTAAATCTTAAAAGCATTTGTATGTAGATCAGTTACATTAGAGATTTTTGTCACTGTACTTGTCCATTGTTAATTGTTTAAAGAAGTCAACAGAAAAATTTAATTTATTTACAAATTTAACTCTTATTCCATATTTTAACGGAAACAAGCAAAAATGAGTTTAGGTTCAACTCTTGTTTTAATAGTAAGCACAAAATGCCTCAAATCTTGAAACCATATTCTTCCATTATAAGGAATCAAGTAAAAATTATTCAATAAATTTTCATTTATTTCAGCGTGTGACTACCTTATCATTAAGAAAAATTATATTTTTTAATTTTTCAAAAATAAATTTCAACAATAATTTTATAAAAAAAAACTTTTCTTCTTCTCATTTCAGATTTAATACCAACCAGTCATTTAATTTTTGGATTTTAAATTTGAGATTTCATCAATAAATAGAAAAACAAAAATTTATTCATCTTAAGTAATTTAAGACCAACCAATAAACCAACCAGCCAACAATCTTTTTAACAATATTTTAATCTACTTTTATGAATATTTCCAGAAAAATTAATAATTATTAAGAAACAACCAAAATAACAAATTAAAATTTTAAGCATTTAAATTTTCCCATCAAATATCAAAAAATTAAGACAAGATATCAACAACAGCCAAATAACAAAAATTTTTATAATCTTTACACTAAAAGACCAATATGTAGCTGCAATATTCCTCTATATAGATACAGATATAGGAAAGGTTGTTTCATTACTATTATACACCGTCTTAAATCTTCATCATATATGATTGTTTGAAGCTGCTTAAACTCTTGAAATTGATATCGATAAAGACCAAAAAGAGAATAACAATTAAAAGTAAAAATTGAAGGAAAAACAAAGAAATGCTGCCATAAAATTGCAACCGAAAACCAAAATTATATTAAGAAGACAAAAAAAATTACAAGAATAAAAACTATAAAACCACAGGGAATTGTAAATTTTTTATTTTCTTCTGCATCTTCTAACTTTTCTTTTTTTTTAAATTAATTCATTTTAATATTTACTGAAATAAAAGAAAAAAGAAAATCAAATCAAAAAACGCATCCAATGTATTGAAAAACCATCATTAAAAATTTTACAATTCAATATAAACTACAGTAGACACAATAAAAAGAAAAAGATAAGCCAGGGCATAATTTATTTTTTTTTTACCAAAATTTTTATTATTTCACTAAAACATAAAACAAAGGAGACCTGCAATGTTATAACGACAAAGTCACTCAAACACACCAACAAACAAAACAGAGAAAAACGAAAAGCTAAACCCATTCTTATCTTCTTAACTGTGTGTGATTTAAATTTCATATTCTCATTCTTCGTGTCATCCACTGATCTGATTGCAATATTGTGTGAAGAAAAACAACAGTAATCACAATACCTGAAAAGAGATTTCGTTGCTCCAACAAAAGATACTTTTCCGATTCATTTTTGGGTGAAAGTCTTTTATTTCTAGCACAAGATTTAATGCCGCTGTTTTAATTTTAAATTGGTTTGTTTACGAATCCGATATATAAATAACGTTAACTACACCAAAAATTTGTCTATACCTGCTAATTGTTTATTCCTACATGTTATATTTTTACTGATCTTAATCATCTCATAAAAATAAAAGTATGGTGATATTAATTATGATTATATAAAAAACATTTCCATATAAAAAATTTTTTGTATAACTGTGATAATACAATTCTCAAAATAAATATACAACGATCACTCTCTTTTTATAATATAACAGAATCGATGTTAATTAAAACTGTAATAAAAATAATAATATTATAAAAGAGAGAAGAAATTTTAATTAAAATAATAGAATAGAAATGAAAAAATAGAACAATTAAAAAAAATTCAGATCGTCAGCCAAAAACAATACTTCAATAAATAATAATATTGTTCAAGTAAAATGAGAAAAAGAGAACAAATGAAAAATTCTTAAAGAAAGTAAAGAAAAATTATTAAGAAATACGCAAAACAGTAAGAAATTATTAAAATAGTAGAAACAAAGCAACAATTCTTAGTTATTTGCAAGTCAAAAGGCAACAGAAACAGAAAATTAAGTAAAAATAATCAAAAAGAGTTTTAAATATAAAGATAACCTTTCTTTTATGAACAATAGGTGGCACTAATTTTTAAAGAAATTATTGACATATAGATAGATTTCCGCTGTATATTGTCAAGATGATCGCTGACATAATAAAATTTCTTTATAATATTTAAAAATTATACAAAAAATATATTCAAAGATCATATAATAGAAGCTGGATTAGAAGTAAAAGTAGATTTTCAAAATAATTATTAATAAATAACAAACAAAAAAAAAGAAATTTATTCTTATATTTTACGAATTCATTGTGTTTTTTTTTCCATTTCAACAAATTCCGAAAATTTTAATAAAAATTATCAAATTCTACAGAAAAAACGTAACATAAAAACATAAGAAACTTAAAATTGGTTTGAAAGACGCCTCGAGCGATCACAGTGCTTCACGGTTGTATTTTTTTTATTTCGATTACATTTTTTTTTTTTTGCATCATTAATTTGTCGGAATGCTTTAAGGTTCAGAAAAAGAAAAACAAGAAATGTGTAAAATAGAAATTTAGTTTTCACAATATTTCAAATCGAATGTTCAATAAAAAATATGATTATTTTGTAACTGAAATTAAAACTATAATATATAATTATAATTATAACAGTTATAAATCATATCAATTTCATCAAAAAACTTAACAACAATACAAATCATAAGTTACAATTCGTATATAATTATTAAAATTGTTATGACGAACAATATAAAAATAGCGGGTGTTTTTAAAAACAAAAAATCATATTGTAAAAGAAAGTTGTTATAATATTTTCTCTTCTAATTTATAATTACAAGATCATAAATTATAAGATTATCTGAAAAAATAAAAAACAAAAACCATTTTAACTGTGATTTTTTAATTAATTACTATTAGACATTTAAAATTATATAAAACTAATTACAAAAAAAAAATTATAAGAAATATCTCGACTTACTATATTTTATAGAACATAATCACATAGTAATTTTACTAAAATTGCTAATATTAAATATATGTAAATAATAATTCACTTATATAATTGTTATTACAAAATACTAAAAACAAATAAAAATATTACATTTATGACATTAAAAATTCAAAGATAACAAAAATTATCTACTGAAATGAAAAGAAATTTCAGAAAAAATTTGAAAAAACATCATAAGTTAAAAAGATATGGAACGACATCTATACCATCGACAGGAAACGATGTCGCCAGAGCAACATTTTTTAACAACAACAGCCATAAACAATGGTATAATTGTTGGTGGCGACAACAATCCTATTATATTATCAGCGATGACGAAGATAATAACGACGACAGCTACGACAGCGTCGACGGCAATGACTTCTCCAACAACAACAACAACAGCAACTCGAACATTATCATTGCCAATAACAAATTTATTATATCAAAACAACGATGTCGAAATAAATCATTCAAAAAATACAATAATAAAGAATACATCAAATACATCAATTCCAATAACTACTATTACAACAACAGCGCCAACATCAACAACAAATACATCAATAGAAACGACATCAGTTACTGTAACAAATTTAAATGCATCAATACCTGCATCAACAAAATGTATATCAGGAATATCAGATATAAATATAAGAAAATCTATAATAAATTCAAATACAAAATTACATCCACCTGACGTTGAAACTGCTTTATCATCAATGTTATGGACACCTTATGAACGTACACCGACCGATACAAGTTCCTCATCTGATGAAGACGAACAACAGCCACAACAACAAACACAATCGACATTTCATACAATATCAACACATGACTTGCAACACCAACAACAATTACAATCAAATCTTCATCAAAATCATCATCATCAACAACAACAGCAACAATTGCAACAGCATCAGACAACACTACAGCAACATCAAATGTTACGTAAGTCGAAAAGTTGTCATGATGCTATATTATTTTCTTCAACGTTAGGACAACCATTACAATATTTAAATTTCATTTATAATAATCAATGTTATAATAATTCTTCAACAACAATTGGATTATTATCAAATGAACAAGAACAACAATCACAATTATATACAATTAATGCAACTGCTACACAACAACAGCAACAACAACTAAATCAACCACAAAATTCAAAAAGTAATGCTTTGAATCACCATAATGTGCCTTCAATTTATAATAATCGAAATACTAATGTGAAATCAATAACTTTTGATTCAATACAACAACAGCAAAATAACTCTTCAAACATTTCTAATAATAGTAATAATAACAATAATTTCAATATTAATAACAGTAACAGTAACATACAAACAAATAATATTCAATCTATAACTGTAAATAATAATTCTAATAATATAAACAGTAATCGTTTTAGTTATCCTTGTTACGGTTATATTCCTAGTGTAGTACAACATCAACAATATCAACAGCAACAACAACAAAATAGAGAACCGCCACCATATGAATCACTATATCAAACAGATACAATTACAACAGCATTAGATAATAATCAACAACATTATTACAATAATGATTATAATCAACAACAACAAAATCATAATCAAATAACATATGCAGAAGACGAATTCCAACAACAACTTAATAACGAAAGTAATAGCTGTAATAATGAAGTTGATAATTCAAATGCAAATACAGGATTAACGGTATTATTTGGTACTAAAAGAAAACCAGTTGTTATAAGTAATTTAATACAACAAACTTTATCTGCTGCCAAGAATCGTAATAAAAATAATCGTAATAGACAGGAAGCACGAAATAATTATGAACAACAACAACAGCAAGAACAACAATTACACGAAAGAGTACAACAAAATAATTATTGTGATAATAGTAATAATAATAATAATAATGCATCAGTTTTACATATAGAAACGAGAGCAGTAACACCAACACCACTTACACCAGAAACAACAGCAGTAACGATGATAACAACACATGGAATATCAGAAACAGGAATGATGAGAGGGAAAATGCCTCATTCCATTACTGCTGACAGTTTTATTACGCATCAGGTAATTTTTTTTACTTTATTTCTTTTTGTTTTTTATTTATTATTTATTTCTCTTTTTGCTGTTCAGTAATTTCTTTGTTTGGCATACCTGTAAAAATGAATTAAGTTGCTCGTGTTTGTTTTTGTAATTTAAAAAATATTTTTTTTAACATATCTACATACACACATGGGTATGTATAAAATGCATATTTGAATATTATTGTTACTGTTTATTTTTACAATTAAAAAAACTTTTACATGAAAATGATGGTATTTCTGACGCATTACAAAAAAGGTTGAAAGGAATGACAAGCAAAATTGTCAGATTTTAGTTGATTAAAAATTTTCTGATGTTTGCCTGTAAATTTTTTCGTAATCAAGTTTTTCAAAATCATGTCAATATTATTTGAAATGAAAATTTTTTGTACCTTTTCTTCCCTATTCCTAGATATTTCGAAAATGTTATTTTCCGCTTCTCTATTAATTTCTTCAACACTTCTAAACATTTATTCAAGCTTCTTATCGAATTTATATATAATCAAGAATGGTACAGAAAATGTCTTCTTACCCAAAAAAGTACCAATGGCTCAACTAAATAAATTTAATTGGAGCTATATGCCTACGGGGGCGGCACCACGATTCCAAAACTTCTTAGAAGTATGTTATTTTGCAATTCATAAGCTTTTCGACTACGGTTTTATTCTAAAACATTTCGCTAATTGGGGTATAGTATCATTGTACTTGTGCTGGAATCTCGTTCTAATATGGCAAACGTTTCAAGTATTACGTGTTTTTTTTTTATATGAGTTTAAAACTCAATTATTAATTTATAAAAAAACAATAACTTAGAATATTCTTTAATATTTTAATTTATTGAGTATGTTGTCTGATTGATTTTTAATTATCTAATTAATCAATAAGAAAAAAAAATTGATAGGAAATTTTATAATATTTTAAAAATTAAAATTTTATTGAACGTAATTATTAGTTTCCGTTTAAAATATGTTGTTAACCATTTAAATTTATTTTTTGTTTGGAATTATAATAATTAAGTTATTAAAAAATTTTATTAGTACAAAATGTAAAACAAAAAAAATACGCCACCACATTTTATAAACTTTTTTGTTATTTTTTAAAATTGATAATTATGCTTTAGGAGAAAAATAATGTATAAGCCGAATTGAAAGTTTTATACGAAAACGTCTAGATAGGCACATATAGTCATATTTTTGTATTTGTAAGTAAACCAGATTTCGGAATAAAAATATGATTAGCTGTATTAAAATTTAACTTTAAGGCTGGTACTAAAATTCGAATTTGAATTTCATTTTATATTGCAAACAATTTTCATAAAATTTAAAAAAAAATCATTTGTACAAATTGCTGACTCTTCAATGTTTGCAGTCTTCTTCATCATGTATTACAATGACATAAAAATGAGTACTAAAATGATCTTAATACGCTTCATATTAATTGTTCTTAACTCAATTATGGTTTATGATAAAATATTGTGTAGGTATACTGAAATTTTCTTTTACAGCTGAAGTACTTCCTCGATTTCCCCAATTTTTAAGAAAATATATCAACAAATGAACAGCTGCTGAAATGAAAATGTTATTTGTTAACGAATGCGCCAAAGTTCGAAAATATTCCAAGAATCATTATTACGATGGTTTACAGAAAATATTCAAATTTTTTCTGATTTCGGCTCAAAAATTAATATAAAAAGATTATTTGAAAGCTACTTGTTATATCATATAGTAGCTCACATATTATAGCTCATGACTGCCATAAATTGATTTCCAATCAATTTTTGACAAAATATACAATTTTTATCTTGAACAGTAAGTATTTTTGATGTTCAATAATTTTTACAAAGAACTTTTTCAATTTATTCTAATAACATATTAATTACAATCTATATTACAGAAATAAAGTCGAAATCACACAAATAAACTGAAATAAGAACGTTTTAACATTATTAAAATTTATTTTTTTTGTATTCTAGAAAAAAAATTATTACCGATCATTAAGTCATTAATTTTATCTAAAAAAAAAACAAAAACACTACCGTCTGTTTTTAGGAATCTAATAATTCTACCAGGAAATGACAAATTGTAGGAAATTTCAGAAAAAAAAGCATTGTTTTTATCTTTCTATGTTTAAAAGACAATTTACCCAAAAATCAACCATCTGTTAAAATTTTTAACAATTACATAATAACAAAAACAGTATATTAAATATAAATTATGTATTCTAACATGTTAGTTTCAACTCATATGCTCACATGTTATATGAGCATGTCAGTTTAAGTGTAAAATTTTTTTTTTAATTTGAAATTTTAATGTTTTAATTTTCAATTTAATTTTTTTTTTAAATTAACTAAAGTTATATGCTCTAGCATAAATTATAGTAGATATTATAATATTACACACTAAAAATTTTAGCGAGTGAATTCCAACTAGACAAATTCTAGTGACGAAATTCACGTGAATTCAAGGAAAATTAATTAGCTTTCTTGCAATTTCAATTTTTTGAATTAGAAATCTAGTATTTTACAACTAGATGCTCTAGGAAATTTATTTTGCCATAGAATTCTGGTAAACAACAACTACTGTCTAGTATTATAGAAAAACAGGAAATAGAATAGAAGTAATTTTTACTTGAAAACTCTATAAATAAATAGATTCCATTAATGCATTTGAAGCATGTTAGACGTCTAGAAAAATTAAATAGAATAAAGAGAAAAATATTAGATTCCATTTACGTACAGAATAACTAGAAATCTAGGGAGTTTTGGACGAATCTGGGCGAAAAGAACGGAATCCGATTTTATAATTTCCAGTTTGCAATTTTGCAAAAATGCGAAATAGAATAGAAGCAATTTTTACTGGAAAACTGTGAAAATCAATAGATTCCATTAATGCATTTGAAGCATGTGAGATGTCTAGCAAAATTAAATAGAATAAAGAGAAAAATAATAGATTCCATTTACGTACAGAATAACTAGAAATCTAGGGAGTTTTGAACGAATCTGGGTGAAAAGAACGGAATCCAATTTTATAGTTTCCAGTTTGCAATTTTGCAAAAATGCGAAATAGAATAGAAGTAATTTTTACTGGAAAACTGTGAAAATCAATAGATTCCATTAATGCATTTGAAGCATGTCAGATGGCTAATAAAATTAATCAGAATAAAGAGAAAAATAATAGATTCCATTTACGTACAGAATAACTAGAAATCTAGGGAGTTTTGGACGAATCTGGGTGAAAAGAACGGAATCCGATTATATAATTTCCAGTTTGCAATTTTGCAAAAATGCGAAATAGAATAGAAGTAATTTTTACTGGAAAACTGTGAAAATCAATAGATTCCATTAATGCATTTGAAGCATGTGAGATGTCTAGCAAAATTAAATAGAATAAAGAGAAAAATAATAGATTCCATTCACGTACAGAATAACTAGGAATCTAGGGAGCTTTGAGGGAGAATCTGGGCTAAAAATACAGAATTTGGATTTACACTTTCGAGTTGACATGTTTTCAGAAACGGGGAATAGAATATACTAGTAATTTTTGCTAGAAAACTACAAAGATAAATAGATTCCACTAATGCTCTTAAAGCATGTGAAACGTCTAGCAAAATTAAATGGAATAAACAGAATAATAATAGACTCCATACACGGACAGGATAGCTTGACATCTAGAGAATTTTAGTCGAATCTGGAAGAAAAAGACGGAGTTCGGTTTCGTGCTTTCGATTTTTTAGCGGTTGTCCGGAGATCTAGTAAATTTAAAAGGAATCTAAACAAAACAAACCGAACTATATACTATATATTACCCATACAAAGAAACCATGCAGCATCGAAAAAAATAACACGTGGTTTTTTAAACTTTGCCTTGTAATTGACCCAATGAGCTAACTTTTAGCAAAAGTTATAAGCTCATTGGGTAAAATAAATTGTTTTGATAAAATTATAAATAGAATAATACACATTAATTAGAATTAAAATTTGATAGTACTTAGAAATATGCATGCAACTACAAAATTATTTTAAATTACATTGCAATTTCCTCTGTCCTTTTTTGATTTTTGTACGTCTTTTGGTTTTGTTTTCAATATTTTGTTAAAAATCGCGGCTTTGTACAAAAAAGATAACTTTGTCAAAAATTGCTACACATATGATTCAATTTTGCGTTTCGTAAAAACTGACATTTGTAAAAAAAATCTGTTATTACTATTGTGAAATAGCTATAGAACTATTTCTTAAACATAATAATTCATACTTTATTCATAATTAATACTTTCTTCGTTCAAATACATATTACTATAAATAGTAACTTAAAATGAACATCGAAACCCTTTTTGTCTTACTATGTTTTTTAAAGTCAAATAAAGGATTCAAACTAGTAAATGCGTCAAAATTTAGTAAAATAGAATTTAGTATAAAATCTATGACTTTTCTGAAAATTTAACAAGTCTTAACATTACATTTAAATTATTTCTTGCTTCATTACATTATTGTAAAAAAGTTTAAATATGAAGATTATAGTTTTAAGAAATTTTGAGAAGAATGTAATATTAAATCACAAAAACAGGCTAATAGATTGGGGGATTATTAGTCGAAGCTTCATAAGGACTGAGGACTTGTTATATTTTGAACACGATATGGACGTACATATGAACGTATATAAATACATAATATTTGTGATATTATAAATGATAACTATATAAGTCTAACTAAGAAAACTAAGAAAATATACTTATGTATATGAAAATTTGAAATTTTTGGCATTACTATTACAGCTACTTTTCATTTTAACTTTCCAAAACCAATGAAATGTGGTCACACTATTCTAATTATTCTATTTCTACATTTGTTTACGTATGGCTTTACGCTTTTTTAAAAGTGTGACCACGTGTACATTTTTTAAATTATAAATTTTACATGGAAAACTAAAAATTTCAACATTACAAAAGATTTAAATTTTCAAATTTGATTTATGTACATAAACTTTTAGT